TGCTGTTTTTTTTTTTTGAATTTGTCACTTGGTCTTTTTTATTCCATAGGCGGGGTATAATCGGACGGCCGGAGCACAAACAATTCAATATATTATTTTTAATTTTAAAGGGATTTAACAAAATAATAGTTACATTATTCAACCAATGCAAAATATAAATTTTATGAATACATTTTTTACAGAGATAACTTTGTATATAACCTTGATTTGATATTTTGCCAAAATATTCATCTATAAATATTTATTTAATGTTTCTCTTGTAAAAATGTCAAGGTGATGGCTGGTTGTACATTTTTTCCCTCTACTTTCAAATATTGTTATTAAGAAATCCTTAACTTTACTCGTTTTTGGTATATTGGTGTTGGACCTTTTTACCTTCGGACCTTTAAACCTCGCTCTATCTTATATATATATATATATATATATATATATATATATTTGAATAGTCTTGAATTTGATGTTGATATATATGTTTAATTTGAGTTTAATATTCGGGCGTAACATCAATAAAAATAAATATTTTTATTGATGTTACGCCCGAATATTAAACTCAAATTAAACATATATATATATATATATATATATATATATATATATATATATTAGGGTGGTCCTTAAAATGGTCATTTTCGAATTCCCTTGCTCCCAGGGGCTCAAATGGTTCCAAATAGATAAAAAACAATTCTCTGAAAGTTTTAGCTCTTAATATTAACGTTTAGATAGAGCGCAATTCAATCAAAATTTTGTATGGAAATAGCATGAAAAAATTTTCAAAATTTTTTTCAAAACCTTTCTCTATCAATATTTGTGTAACAAAAAATACTAAAAAGCAATAATTAGTCTAAAAAATACCTTGAATTTTCATGTATATACTTTTATACGTATTCTTTCAGAGATATTATAATGAGAAATTTTTTTTTTTTTAATGGATTTTTTTATGAAATCATGAGTTTTTTGAAAATTGTTTGTACTAATGTTATGGTATTTTCTAGAATCCATCAAGATCTCTCAAACCAAGTTAATTCTAGATGGAAAACGATTATTTTTAATTTTGGTGGAAATGGCACTCATAAACTATTTGATTTAAATGAAAAAAAAAACATTGTATGCGTCTTTTAATTGCATGATCGCTCACTCATTTTACACGCAGAAGTACTTCTTTTAAAGCTTATTTGGAGAATTATAAAAACCCATTTTCATAATTAACTTAATATTGTTCCTACAACACTGTAAAATAGCGATTTATTAGGATTTTTATTGATATAATTTTGTTCATTACATAATTTTCGTTAAAATGTATATTTTTGAAGATATTAGCAAAAAACGATGAAAAACGCAAAAAAGAAACAAATTTTCAGTAGCCAATAACTTGAAAAGTTTTTGCTTTTTTGAAAAACATTATTAAACATTTTTCTCTTATAATTAGTTCTTTTATCCACACCCAACGTTATTACACCATTGAAAAGAAATGGCATCCCCCGGGTAGTGCAAAGGAGTCTCAATTGTTTTCACTTTTGAACTTGAGAGTAAGATGAGCCTAATTCCAAAATTCCAAACGAATTGGAAAACAGTAAAAAAAAGTTCAGACCGAAAGCGCTCCATTTGAATTTGACATATGAATTTTTGACACAATGAAACTTTTTTTTTTTTTTTTTTTTTAATTTTTTATTTTCAATATCAATCAGAATACATGACTATTCTATGAGCTATTTGGCTTATGTCATTCACTCACACACATAAACACACACTTGCAAACACACATATAAATTTATCGGATCAATATTACAATCATATTTAAAGAATCACTTCAATAAATGATTCAATTATTCTGTTCATATTATCTAAGGTTCCTCCATATTATCTTCGGGCAGCTTCTTCTTCAGTCTTCTAGAAGTTGATGTCTCAAGAAGCTGAGAGACTATATGGTTTGAATGATGTTGTAGTTTTTGAAAATGTTTTATACTGTTGATTTGTATTATTTTGTTTATAAAATCAATATGAAGATCGTCGTGTAAAGTTTTGTTACTAACAAACCACGGAGCATCAGTAATCTGCCTCAACATTTTCGATTGGGCACGTTGCATTAACGCTATGTTGGATTTGCTTGCACAGCTCCACAATTCAATGCCATAAGTCCATATGGGTTTTATTATTGCCTTGTAAATTAGAAGTTTATTGTCAATCGACAAAATTGACTTGCGTCCCAGTAGCCAGTATAGTTCAGCGGTTCTAATTTTTATAGTCTTTAATTTGGCGCGAATATGGTCCTTCCACGTGAGCCTGCGATCTAAATGCATACCTAAGTATTTAACTATAAAAACCTTTCAATTATGTGACCCTCTCTTGGCGCCGAAGCTGGATGCGCCACTGGATTGGAAGAAGTGGTGATTAGTTTTTGGCAAAGGCAGGTTCAGCTGTTTCGAAGATTCGGAGCTAAATGTACAAAAAATTGCAGTTTTTAGGAGAACTAAGCATCCGATTTGAATGATTCAAAAAACTGTCTGCTTGCGTTGACAAAACAATTGCTTTTGGGGAAATTTTTTTTTCCCAAAAGCAATTGTTTTACCAATACCAACTAGTTAATTAATTGGTCCTACCACATAGTCCTAGTTTGTTGTCATTATATCTTAATCGGTAATTGGTAGACTAGCAGACTGGTATGCAGGTAAACTGGCAGACTGGTAAAATAGCTAAACAGGTAGATAGTACATACGTAGACAGATGAACAGGTAGGCAGTAAATTGGTAGATAGGTAAACTGGTGGACAGGTAGGTTCGAAGAACATACGAAATGGTAGACAAGACAATTGATAGATACAACTGGACAGGACACTATACAGGTTGACATGTATATTGGTCGACAGTAAAATGGTGGACAGTAAAATGGTGGACAGTTAAACTGGTAAACAGGTAAACTGGCGAGCAGGTAAATAGGTAAATAGATAAAAGGTAGATAGATAGATAAGTAGAAAAATAAACAGGTAGGTAGGTAAATTCGAGATTATATAAAATGGTAGACAGGACAACTAGTAGATAGACAGAGATGTAGACAGATAAACGGGTTGACAGGTAAATTGGTAGACACGTAAAAAGGGTTCACATGTGAATCAGTTGTAGGTGAAGTAAAACAAGGCAAAGTAAGAATGGGTACTGCTAATGTTGAATAAAAAAGAAGAATTTTGCAAAAAATGGGTTTTTGTTAATTATTCTATGGGCTATTGAGTGATATATTGTCGAATGATGACTGAACTTGCGACCAATGAGAAAATCCATCTGTTGGTTTCTTATAATTTTTTGTTAGAAAGGAATTTTTGTATATTCAAATATAATGTGAAGTAATAAGTGTGAATTCACACTTATTATTTCTCGATCTTATATGTGTTTACTCGATCTTATATGTGTGCGTATGTGAACAGATTTTTCGCCGTAAATCGACGTTTTCTCAAAAACGGCTGGATAGATTTCAAAAATTTAAAAGTCATTTGATGTATCTCAATGAGGACTAGCGTTTATCAATTTTGCGCGACGATCAGCCAAGCCGTTTCTTTGTAAATAGCAGAAAAGTGAAAAAATTTTCGCCCACGTTTTAGCCCGCAGTTCTGAATCGATTTTGAAAATTCAAAATTCGAAAGATATTGATCGGGAATCGTGCTGATTAGTTTTTGGTAAAGTTCGGCCGGGCCGTTTTCTTGTAATGAAGTGTTAAAAAAATTTTTTCGACGATTTTCATGATTTTTTTTGACGGTAGAGACCATAGTCTTGTAGATCATACTAAAATATTACGGCCCTACGACAACTCGTTTAGCTTTAAAAATTTGTCAAAGTTTGTAAAAATTAATATCGTTTTTTTGGCATTTGTTAAAATTAGACCTTTGATTGACATTTTCTCAAAAACGCCTGAACCGATTTCAGAAATTTAAGCCATTTTATGTATTTCAATGAGGACCATCATTCGTCAGTTTTGTGCGACGATCTGCCAAGCCGTTTCTTTGTAATTTGGAAAAAAGTGTTAAACTTTTCGTCCACATTTAAGCTCTTACTACCGAATCGATATTAAAAATTCGATAACTGTTCGAAAGATATTAGTTAGGAATGATTCTGATTAGTTTCAGATGAAAATCTACCGAGCCGTTTTCTTGTAATTCGTTGTAGAAAAAAAAATTGAGCCGATTTTTATGGAACTTTTTTGATGATATTTACCATGATCTTATACAACTTATTGAAATATTACGGCCTTACGACAAGTAGTTTAATTTTAAAAATTCATCAAAGTTTGAGAAAATGTGTAGTGTATTTGACGTTTGTTAAAATTAAAATTAGACGATTTACTTGGTATAACGTTGCGTGGTATAAACTGCAACGAAAACTGGTTCAATTATAAAAATTGTTGATTTTTGAAAATTGCTTTTAGAAAATACTCCGAGTTAACGTGTTCGTTCGCTTTCAATTATAAATCCACTAGGAATACTTTTAATCACTCATAAATTAATTTATTTTTTATTGATTAAGTCGATTAATTGCACATACCGGAAAGTTCATGTAACTTGCCTCAAGGCAAAATACCAATACGTAGTTTGTACACATTCACATTATATTAATGCATGATGCGATCTGGGGGACTATTTATGCTTATTTTATCGGTTAGATTTATAAAACTTGAGGAGGTCTTTCTACTGGTTGAAAATTGTTAAACCACAAAATTTCAAACGTTTTTGCTACCTAATTTGAGAACATGAATGCATTCATGATTCAAGTCTGAAATGTAATGACTTGTATTGATTCGGAATGGAGAACAAATATCTCTATATGGGTTGATTCAAATCAAGCACAGTTTGACCTGTTTAAAATAAAATCAGGTACAAGCGCAATATAATAAAATCAAATTATTGTTGTATCGTAAGAAATATGTAAAATTATTTGAACAAATTATAATAGCATCTATTTTCACGTTTACTTGTTCAAATTATAGATATTAAATTACCAAGTTCTTTTAAATTCCAGTTGCTCCTGAATGCCTACTCCAATAATATAATACCTTCTGTACATAAATTATGGGATGCAAAAAAGAAAACTGATACTAGTGAACCATTTGATTTGCACCCTGATATAAATTCACCAAGTCTCATATATGCATTATATGAACGAATCGTAATTTTAGAGCAAAAAACTCAAGAACAAGATTTACAGCTCAAATCTTTGGCTAACAAAAATTTCAATGCAGATATAGATAAAGCCATATTAGAAATAAACGAGGTACTTGAAACTAAATATTGTAATGGTGTGCATTTATGGAGAATTCATGAATTTAACACAAAACTGTGTGAAATGAAAAAAAATCCTGATATTATGTATTATAGCAAAGGTATTTTAACATCTCCTTATGGGTATGGTTTTTGCGCCAGGATAAATGTTTCAACTAAAGAACCAAATTGGCTTGCATTGCATGTTCATATGATGAAAACTGAGAACGATTCAAGTTTGAATTGGCCATTTAGTGGTAGAATCAATTTAACATTGGTCCATCCAAGGTATTTTACCTTCAATAAATTCCATACTGATACAAATATATATAGCATTAGATTAGATGATCATGGATTAATATATTTTTAGTGAAGCTTCGAGATCACAGCAGGATACAATAATGTCCAGGTCTGAAATATTAGCTTTTCAGCAGCCATCTAGTGATATTAGCCCAAGAGGATTTGGTTTTCTAAATTATACCTCACTATTGTGTATTGATCAATTTCTTGAGAAGGATACTTTAACAATTAAAATACATATACAAGCAGTATGATGGGACATAAATGATCTTTATGCTGTTTGTATGAAAGGGTATGAGAAAGTTGCATGCATTTAAACATAATGTATTTTTTTCAGATAAATGAAAAATAAATTAATAGTTATATATCAAAAATGCAAAATATGTTACTTTTGGACAAAAAGATATAAATTATTATAAAATCAATGTAATATTATAAAAAAAATTATACTTATATATTAAAAGATAATTCTATACTAATTTTATTTTACTTATTTAAATATTACAAAAGCTTGAATAATTTAAGTTCAAAACAAAAATGAGTTATGTATGATATTTTTTATCTTTTGTTATCTCAATTTGTAATTTTATTATCCTCAATGCATTTTCCAAATTGCTTCTTCTTCTGAAAATTTTTTGTGCTTGTGATTTATTTTTAGTCATTGAGAAGCCAATCATGTTGTGCATAGCAAGCGTTTAAATAGTATAATTGAATTTGAAAGAATGATTGGTATCTATATTAGAAAAGCATAATCTCGCTACAAAATTGTAGACTCAAATTTTTGTCTGTTAAATAATGTTATACATGAATATTAATAATAAAAAAATAAATTAATTTAGGAGTGATTAAAAGTATTCATACACCCATCTATTTTTGCTACTCAGTTTGTTTTTTTTTTCATTGTTATTACATTTTTTACATATTTTTCTTTTTCTTGCTTCATTTTTAAATAAAGAGTGCATTATCCATTCCTTTATAAAAAAATGTATATACAGTTTTTTTATAATCCAGATCTGTAATCATCATCATTAATATTGTTCTATATTTAAATATTGTCTTTGACATAAGAACCTGATGATGGAACGTACCTATAGGTACGTATATAGATATATGTATATTTGTAGATATATACAAAAAACTTACTGTTTTTTATTTATAGGATTATTGTCATATTTATATATATATATATATATATATATATAATAATAATAATAATATAATATAAATTTTATACAATTATAAAATTGTTAGTCTTGTCACCTCTCTATTTCGATATATCCGGTTAAAAATGTTAAAATTTGTTGAAAAATTGAACTGAGCGCCATCCAATGATCACTATGCGCACCAGGTGTGTCTATGATATGTCAAATTGGCGTAGTGCCACTACACCATTGCACTGCATAACCGCACTACACACATGTACTCTTGTACACTTTCTTATTTTCTATTTCATGTGCCGCTCACACAAGTTATTTTCTAATTCGCGTGAACCGTTATTTCACCTCGAAGTGATTCGTTCTCATTCCATCTTCCATCGCTTCTACACAGCATGTTACTATCATATAGTTTCAACGTACTGCTTATGAGATATATTGAAAATGTTTCAATTGAGTATTATTGATGCCATTTTTATACAATTTGCTTTGGTCATTGTAATTTTTGGCAATTTGTTACATTTATTAGAGCCCTATGTGCCTGTTTGTATAAGGCAAGGTTTTCGGTATGGAAAATTCGGATACAATGGAAATGCTTGTGCATGGGTTTCTTGGATCGAAATACCGAAGTCATACTTCAAGCATTTTTATATCTCGTCAACATTTTGCTCGTTTTTTGCTCTCTGTATTGCAATGTATGTTTATTGTTTTAATGGAGTGACTCCAGAATGGTTCCTGGGATTTTTAAATTTTTGGTGCTGTTCTGAAAGAGTTGCCACAGGTAAAATCATATATATTTTAAAATTGGGTTTTATTGATTTAAATTTTATTTTAGTTTCGAGGACATCTACATTTTTTGCATTACTACTTCTGTACCTGCAATGTTTGCGGAGATTATATGAAACCCATTGTATTCAAGTTTTTAGTCCAATGGGCAAAATGAATATTTCTCATTATATTGTTGGCCATTTTCATTACTTTGGGGCAGTCCTAGCTATTTTAAGCAGAGCTAGTGGATTCACCAAATGTATATTTACTTTATGAAAATAAATAAATGCCATATACAAATTATTGATTATTTCAGATGATTTAGAAAGAAATACTACTACCGCAATTGATGTCACATTTAATATTGCAATTGCTGGATTGTTTCTATATGCTTGGATTAACCAATTCAGAGCGAATATCACTTTAGCTAACTTGCGGAAAGATAAAAATTCTGGTATTTCGAAGCATTAAATGTGATATTTATAAGAAAATTATTTGATTGTAGCTATTTGTGTAAGACTAAAAATTTGCTAAATGATTCTTCAATTAACAATATATATCTCAATAGATAATAATACAAAATTTAAACTTTGGTTACAGGATGTGTTGTAACTCACAAACATGTTGTTCCAAATGGAGGATGGTTTGAAGTTGTTTCATCGCCGCATATGTTTTTTGAAGTATTGATGTATATATCTCTTGGTATAATTTTGCACAATAACCTCTCGTGGTGGTTTGTAATGGCTTGGGTTTTGTCAAATCAGGTATTTTTATTGATATATTTTAATATTTTGAAAGTTATGATTTACAAAAACAATTAATTTGTCCTTACAAGACATAACAAATTTTAATTAATATTGATTTTGTTTCAACAGACATCATCAGGCGTTTTTGCACATCAATGGTACAAAGAAAAATTCAATGATTATCCAAAGGTTAGGAAAGCTATTTATCCCTATGTTTTATAAGAAAAATTATATAAAAGAACAAACACTTAAAATGCATGACTGATTAAAATGCATAATAGAAGTATAAAATAATTATATTTATTTATGACCTTGTATACAATATTTTAGATTTATAAATAATGCAAAATGTGTATTTTATACTTTTATAAACTTTATCACTTGAATAAGAAACTGAAAATAAAAATATATTTATATATAAATATATAATTTAATTTTTATAATTTTATAGGTACATATGTTTTTTTTATTACCTATATGGATATCCTTGGGCCTTTGATCTAAACACACTTAAAATAAGAGAGAAGAATACAACTACTAGAATGAGCCCTGCTATTGCAAATATTCTTCTCTTCCGAATATCACTTTTTCTTTGTGCTGCTTCTATCATTAAAATCATACCTAAAACAACACAAGCATCTAAAAAGTTGTTAAGGACTTGAATACAACTCTTTATTTTTGTTGTATAACTCTATTTTTGCAATTATATGAAAAGTTAATTTAAAGAAAACATGCAGCTTAATATTATTTGAATCAGATATATGATTCAAATCATATATATGACTTTTAAAAAATTTTCACTTGTTTGTGATGTTTGAATTGCAAGAGATGTACATTTTGTAAAGCAAATTATGCATAGGTGCTATAAATCAAAATAAAATATTTCAAAAGGATACTTAAGACTAAAACTATATAAGTTTCAAGCACAAATTGCCCTTGGGATGATCCATGGATATAAGCTATGCCCCCATTTTGGGCTTTGTGGACAAAGGGGGGGCCTCGAATATGATTCCACATTTGTCCTGATACCATAACAAAGCAAAACACAACTGCACCTAAAGCCCAAGGTTGTTTTTTATATAAGAAATCTAGATTGTTCCTTCTCAGATAAAGGAATCCAGATACCAAGACAAACAGCAAAATCATTGCAATTGTTCCAGAATAATTAGGAGGACGAAATATACGAATCTATAAATTAATATACGAATTAAAATTTTAATGATAAAAATATCTCTCCAGTGAATAAAAAATAAATACTTGAATATCAGTTCTTTCTCCAATCCATTTTGAAATAGATTCTGCAGCAAATCCAACTCGTTGTATATCCATTGTGTCACTAGGCTTAGGCTTGCCTTTAGGAGGGAAATGTATGAAGACAGGAGCAGTGTTCAATCTTAGCTGTAATTACAATTATAATAAATGATACAATAAACATGTATACATACAGTGGCGTCAGAACCGTGTGGGCTAAGCCCACCCATCAATCTGAAAATATGAGATTGTCTGCAATGTCTTTAGAAAAATAAAAAAAAAAAACAAGCCCATTGGCTGCCGCGAGCCCACCCATCAAAAATTTGCTTCCAACGCCACTGTATACATATGTTAGACTACAAAAACATTATGCTGAAAATCCTGAAATAATATTCATTATTATTGATTATAGCTTGCTTATGAATAAATAACAGAAACCTGGTTTGTCAATTGATCACTCTCCTTTTTGAAGAATTGTGGATCGATATATATATATATATATATATATATATATATATATATATATATATATATATATATATATATATATATATATATATATATATTGTATATATATATATATATATATATATATATATATATATATATATATATATATATATATATATATATATATTCTCAAGTATCAAATACTTTTATGCAAATTTAGCAAACAAAATAAGAATAGCAATGAATTACAGGCTTGCAATACATATATCTACATACATAGATTCATTTTGTTCTAGTATTAATAAGCAAGCACCCACTTGATTTTTTATATCATCATTTTTTAATTTTAATTTATACTTTGTTATATCATCCCCAATGACCATTATATATGGTCACCTCTAATATAAAATAGTGTAATATGTAAATTAGGCAAAGGTGAACTTAATAATATTAAGTTAATTATATATATATATATATATATATATATATATATATATATATATAAGTGAATATATTTTTATATTCACTTAATATTTAATTTGTAAATCAACTCACTCAAAAAATGTACATCTTGTAAAAAAAAAGTCCGCATTAAACAGTGAAGGTTGGAACAAAAGTATGACAAAAACAGTTGATAGACATCGTATGTTCAGAAATAGTATAGTTTAGTATGAAGAAATGTAGAGTATGCTGGCATTAACCGATAGTTAATTTTATTAAGGTCATTTATATTTCGAAGACAAACAAAGCTGAACTTAATTGTAAAGACTAAGATGGAAGCTTGCAACTATGAAATTAACCATAATCAAATGCGTGCGCTTGGTTTCAAGAGAGGACTAGAGAATCAGTTATTGATCTTTTTATCAGATTAGACTGTATTTTAAAGCATATTTGACTAAATTCAGATAATGCAAAACATGTTGTCTTAAAATAAAACTGATTAAATATATATATATATATATATATATATATATATACATATATATAAAATAAAAGTAAAAAAATTAATACCATTTGGAAGACATCAGATCCTTCATCAAAGTCCACCATTGCAAAGAATAGTTTACTAGAATACAGTTGCGAATATCTATAAGAATTAGCAATAATAGTGAATTCATCACTAGCATGTCTGCAGATCATACATTGTCTGGCAGGCGCCATAGCAGTGAACATTACGACAACTGAATAGTTTCGAGGGGTGGTCTTAATATAATCTCTAAACTTATTGCCATTAAATCTCATCACAGATTTTTTTGTATTCATATCCAATAATTGTTGTACTCTCTCAGACATGGTTAATCCCTGAAAATATTAATTATTTAATTCTTAGTACTTAACTATAAAGGCTAATTTGCGATACAAACATTTCGAGTTTTGGATTGTCCATTTAATGTAGGAATTATAAGCGCTAATATAAATAAACTTATAAACGTTAAGACTTTCATATTTCCTATATATTGTAAATTTAAAAAGCAATTTGCATTTTTTTCTATGAAGCGATATCTCCTTCCACGTCAAAAAGTCAAACACGTATTCAGAATTTGACAGCAAATGGTTTGATTTGGTATCTGTAGTTTACAGTGAGAGCTATGGTCGAAAAATTTACTCAAAATATTATTAATAAACAAATTTCAAGAACTTCCCGTACGGTAATTAAACATTCAAAAAATGCAAATAACCAATAATTATTTTAAATAATTTCAAATAGATTATTTTTTACAAATGCTTATTAAATTGAGCGTATTCTAATGGTATTTTACAAACGACTCGTGCATTTTTACAATTTTTTTTAAAATCTTGAAATTTTTTTAATAGTTCAAATTTTTGGAAAAAATCATTTTTTTTTAATTTTTTGAGAATTTGGAAATTTTGGATAATATTCGTTTTTTTTTAAATCTCAAATTATTCTCAAATTTTTGTAAGAAAACGTTTTTTTTTCTAATATTGATATTTTTTGAAATTTTTCAAAATTTAGAATTTTTTGAAAATTTTGATTTTGGTTTTTTCAATCATACAAATCGGCTATTCAATACAATTGCTTAAATCATTTCCTTATCTATGGCTTAAATTGTTTAAATTGTTTCAATAACAATTGTTTGAACCATATAAATGAACTTCAAAATTAACTAGTTAGTATTGGTATTTAGCCTTGAGGCAAGTTACATGAACTTCCCGATATGTGTAAATAATCAAATTAATCAATAAAAAATAAATTAATTTATGAGTGATTAAAAGTATTTCGAGTGGATTTATTATACATAATTGAAAACGAACAAACACATTAACACGTAGTATTTTCTAAAAGCAAATATTCAAGAATCAATAATTTTTATAATTGAACCACTTTCCGTAGGACTTAAATGATTATACCAAGTAAATCTAATTTTAATTTTGGCTAACAGAAAAACTACTAATTTTCCCAAACTATGATGAATTTTTAATATTAAACTACTTAAGGCCGTAATATTACAGTAAGTTTTATAAGACCATTCGGCTTAAATTTTTTTAAGCAGTTAATTACAAGAAAACGGCTCGGTAGATTTTCACCTGTGGCGATATCAAGCAGACTGGTTTTTTGTAAAAAAACAATCGGACATGTCATGTATATTTTTGATATCGAAATATTTTTACAGTTAATAAATTTATATTTTTTTATTATGTTGGGAGTTTCTAATTAAATATATTATCATAATCATTACAACTCCCACATCGGTGACAACGACGAATCAAAACAAAATTTGACATAATTTATTGGATTCCACAATTCTGGACTCTTATGTCAAAGAAACCAATGATCCTGATTTGGATAAAGAGCCAACTTCTTTCTCTGATCGGAACTCATCAGATACGAATGCAACGCTTGCAGAAATGGAAACTGTACCCATAAATTATGCATTCTAAACATTAAGTTATTCTGATATAACTAATACCCATTAGATCGAGAACATTATGCAGAATATGGAGTTGATGGCAGGTCAAATCACCACATACGGTGGATCTGCTGACGAAACATGGAAATTTGTAATTGACCAGTATTACAACACTGGTCTGCTATAATCTGCTTTCCCACCACATTTTTATAACGTGTTTCCCTGTATTTTTTTTTTTAAACTGTGAGATCAACACTGGGCAGGGAGTGTGTGGCGATATCAAGCAGGCTGGTTTTTTGTAAAAAAACAATCGGACATGTCATGTATATTTTTGATATCGAAATATTTTTACAGTTAATAAATTTATATTTTTTTATTATGTTGGGAGTTTCTAATTAAATATATTATCATAATCACACAACTCCCACACACCTAAAACTAATCAGTATTATTCCTAACTTATATCTTTCGAACAGTTTTTGATTTTTTAAAATCGATTCGGTAGAATGAGCTTAAATGTGGACGAAAAGTTTAACACTTTTTTTCAAATTTCAAAGAAACGGCTCGGCAGATCGTCACACAAAACTGACAGACGATAGTCCTCATTGAGATACATCAAATGGTTTTTAAATTTTTGAAATCGGTTCAGGCGTTTTTGAGAAAACGTCGATCAAAAGTCTAATTTTGACAAATGCCAAAAAAACAATATTAATTTTTGCAAACTTTGAAGAATTTTTAAAATTAAACGATTTGTCGTAGGGCCGTAATATTTTAGAATGATCGACAAGACTATGGTATCTAAAAGAGAAACTTTTTATGTCAATAGATAGCATGATCCTGAACAATTTTACGTTTTTACGGCAAGTAGTTTAATTTTAATAATTCATCAAAGTTTGAAAAAATATTATAGTCAAAATTTGTATCAAAAGTTGCTTTTGTGATCAAAGCCGATTATTTCTATAAATGACGTTCTACGACAAAAAATCTTGTTTTATAGTAATCTTAAAGGTCTAATTAATAAAATATAACAGATTTAGTTCGTCCACTTTCCTATTTTCTCTAAAATTCGTCTTTAAAGTCAAACGTTCCTTAACATCCCGTAATATGGTACGTTTACCTTAGTTGAAATATTATCTGAGCCGCTCAGTCGACTTTTTGAAAAAACTGAGATATTAGTGCGAAAGTACTCAGTGTAATCATAACTGTTAGTGATAATAATGACTTTTCGGAATAATTAAAATTAACACTGTGAAACATAATTTTTTTTTAACAGCTGAATAATAACTCATTTATTTCAGAAGACATTTTGATTAACTCCATTTTGTAGTGCATATGTTCCGGCTGGACCGGTTTTCGGGTTTCATGAATTACAAATAAGGATTTGATAAAAACATAAACCCTAAGATTGTTTGGCAAAAAACTGTAGAGTCTCAAGGATGTTACAAACTTACATACTAAAATTCGTGTACCCGGCAAAACAGAAATATTAAAACTGTGTTAAGTTTATTGAAACTTGTTTAAAATACGGAAATAAGAGCTAAGTCAATTGAAATGAAATTTCTGGTCAGTGGAAATAGCTATTTACCTATTGACTCTAGATTATTGAGTCACGTGCAAAAAAATCGAGACATTTTTTCACTAGATAATTGGTACAATATAATAAAAACATGTAAAAGGAAAGTGCCATTTTAGCTAATCCAAATATTCCACGAAGATTTTTTATCAACAAAGCCATTAGAACAATCACTAACAGAAAAGTAACCATTACAGAGTGTCCAGTAAATTTATAAAGTTAGAAATCTTATATAAGCCAATCTCATATAATTTAAATGTGTCTATAATGAAGATATTTTAAAGCTATTAATATAAGAAAGTCTGTACCAGGTTGACCAAAATGTTTGAATAATATACAATAGTCATTATTATATTATAAAGCTAGAACTTTAAAAAAGGAAAAATTGAGAGACATAAAGGACTTGCTAAAATTCATTCCCCCCACTACGAAAAATTGTCAGAAATTATTCTAATCATAATAGAATACAGCTGATAGAGAAAATATTATTTATAGAATTGCTGATTAATCACAAATAATATATTACAACAATTAACATTTATTTTTATGAAAATGCTTTAACATAAATATATAAGAATTAGGTTTATTATTTTTTTTTTCAGTTGACAACTTGATTAACTCCACAAGTCATATCAAATCTTTAACTTGAATTATAATTATTTACTCACTATTTACTGTAATTAACCTTATATACCGTCACATGTAAGCTATATATGTATTTATACGTTCTACATTATATTTTCCAACTTATATTATTACAGGAATTTTTAAAAGCAATGTGCATTACTTCATCGCTTTTCTCCACTTTCTGTTTTTTGGAGTTAGTCGATGTGTGCACTGAACGGCTCATCTAAAAATCTAAATCTCAAATTCGGTTGATTAAATCCGAAATACACATTTCGAGAAGTTCATGCAAATTGCCTCAAGCGAAACGCCACTTTTAACTATAGTTACTTATTAGGTTCATTTATAAATATTTACTTTTTATTATAGTAAAATATAAGTAACTAGATCATAGATAAGTAAAACTAGATATTAACATGTGGTGCTGAGGCCCAATATCATGGAACCCCATTTTCTCTTATTCAGGTGCGTAACTAACCCAAATCAGCCGTATCAAAAATACGTGGTTCCTGAGCTGGGGGGGGGGGGGGCAACGAGCGCAATTAGAAATCAAAACAACATTTTTTTTAAATTGAATAATTTTAAGGTAGTTTGCTTTTTCTTTTGTTATCAAGAGGCAGTGGCGTCGGAACCGCGTGGGCTGTGTGGGCATCAATTTCAAAAAATTATATGGGCTAATATCTCTAAAAAAAAAAAAAAAAACGGGACCACTGGCTATCTAAAAAAAAAAAAAAGACGAGCCCACCCATCAAAAATTTCGTTCCGACGCCACTGTCAAGAGGTATTGAACTTGAACATTTCTGCTGCAATATTTCTGCAAGCTCTAGCAATCAATTCAATTAGTAAAGTTTTCGCACATACGATAATTTAATATTCTTGTCAACAAATCTATAAAACTAATCCAGTTTATACATTCTTCATCGAAAATTGAAATTTTTATAGTTATATTTGTAACATTTTTATATTTGTTTTTGTTACTACTTGAATTGTCTGCATGACGCGCAAGTTTAATATAGTTAGATTTTGATAAATAAGATCAACTAAATCATTTTTAGATTTCTTTCTTCGCTGTTTCAAATTATTATGCTGTAAAACCTAAATAATATACAGCACATAACACATATGAAAAAATTAATTATAAAAATATGTTCAGAAAATTTTCCATTATTGCCCAAGTATAGAAATATATTTATTTGCCATTTTTTAAAAAAATTTCTTTTTTCTACTCTTTTACCCCATAGGGTGCAAATACACCCAATGTCTCATTTTAAATTATGAGGAATTTTCAAAAATGAAAGCTACATTATTTACCCAATGCCAAATACAAATTTCATTAGTACGTTTTTACAAATATTATACCTAAATATTAATCTCTGCTGATGAATGGTAAAACCTATTAATTTAATTTATCTCTTGCAAAATTCCTTATATAAGTAGTTTCAATTATAAAATTTTACAATATGACTTA